CCCCTGCCCCTAACTGCCCCCGCCACCTCATTGAAACCCCCCTCTCCTTCCTGACTGGCCCCCCCAGGACCCCTGCCCCCATTCAATCCCCCTGTTCCCCACTCTCTGACCGCCCCTGCCCTCTATCCAACCCCCGCTCCCTGCCCCCTTACTGCGCTCCCTGGAGCACGGGTGGCTGGCAGCACGGCTGCACCAGGATAGGCAGCTGCGCCACCCCGCTGGAGCCAGCCATGCACGGCACAGCACAGAGCACCGGTTCAGGCTGTGGCTTTGCAGCTGTGCTGCCCCAGAGAGCTCGCCGCCCAAAGCGGTGCAGTGAGCTGAGGCTGCGGGGGGAGGGGAGACAGCAGGGGAGGGGCCAGGAGCTCAGGGGCCGGGCAGGAGGGTCCTGCAGGCTGGATGTGGCTCGCAGGCCATAGTTTGCCCACCTCTGCTCTACAGTACTCTCAATTACAGCCTTCCCAAATAAGGCTCAGTTCCCAAAGGCTCTAAGAATGTGACTCCCTCTAGATCTTGCTTCACATCTTCTCAACAGTAATATATTGAAGTAAGACAGGAAACAAGCTATTGCTGCTCTCAAGTTTTCACATTTAAGCAGCTTTAAGAGCTAGCAGTATTTAATAGGCCTCAGTAACTTCAGAGTCAATCAGGACATTGCAGCACTACTGGTGGGACTCACTCCCCTATTCTCCTGCATCACACTCTGTCCATTTCTTTTGCATCCACTTGAGAGAACGCTTTCTAGGGAAGCTTTTTGCACTTAGGGTCAGTCAGCCGTTTCTAGTTAACATAGCCCCAAGAAGGTGGTAAGGGTTCTGCCTCAGGGAGGTCCAGTGCAATCCCATCTGCAGCTCCTGGGGAACCAAGTTGCTGTGTTGCTCCTTAGGAAGGTGCAGCATGCATGATGCTTCACAGCAACTGGTCTCACTGGCTGGTGCAGAGAGGTAGAGTCATGGCCACAGCATAGTGGGACCCACTGCCGCTGCTGTGGTGGAGAGCATGCTTGGTGGTGCTCGCAGGGAGCAGTCCCTAAATGCCGTTGTGGCTGACTCCTTCATAACATGCAAAGAGGGGAAAGTTCTCCTGTGTCCTCTTCCCTCATAGCACATAGAATGGCCACAATCTGATCAGACTCTTAGTGAAACACTAATGGCCATGGACCAAAATCCAGCTTCTAGAAAACTAGGGCTCACATCATAACAGCATCACAACTGCTGCTAATTAACCTCCCTCTCAACAGAACCTGGGCGGACCTGTCAAGCAATGTTTTTCTCTCTAGCTAGGCTTTTTATAAGGTCACCCCTCACAGTGGTGTCTCATCCAGCAACTGAACTACATTAGAACTGGTCCTTCCAGTTCAGAGTGGAGGGAGTTTGCATTAATCATGTCTAAACTACCTTGGCTCTACACAGGATCTCAGCCTGCAAGCCTGGCAGTCATGCACATTTCATTTCAAGCACAGACTTCACTTTTAAAAGGGAAGCAAAAATAAAAAGACAGGATTTTATGTGAGCATAATGTAAGATTAAAAAGAAGATATTGAAACTCCTTTATTTGGGGGGATTAGGTGACAACCTTTTAACTGTCCAGAGCAAGAATTCCGGGATGGATTTCTCCCTGAGACACAGTGTAGGACTGATGAACTATTGTACAGTGGATTTTTGCTCACAATGAGCAGAGCGAGTTTAAGTATCAAAAGACAGATTTGGTATCCCAAAAGCAATCAATATTGCAAAATGAACACATGAATTTGCACTCTCACTCATGATAGAGATACAGCTGACATACTTTCTCTCAGGGATTAATGCACAATAGGTTACAATTAGGGGCTGAAAATGAAGCCCATTTTCTAACCCTTTGTACTTTGCTGTGCATGTATGTAGATGGATGCTTAATTAAAAGAATTAAAAACTGCTAAAAATCATGTACTTGTTTTTCAGAGATGAAGGTTTTTGCTTTTTGTTTTTAGATCACTAATATGAGTTTAAACCAGGTCAGTGGGAGTGGTTAGTACTTACCATTTTGCCTGGATGAAAGGTGTTAACTTGGGTGGTCTCAATCCAACTCCTAGTGGATAAGTGTTCCAATGAGAAAAAAGTTAATTGTATTTGTTGCTAATTTGCGCTCTTGCTGGCTGTCTCTTCAGAGGTGAGTGGTTGAATGGGCATTGAAAATTCACTCCTGCCCAGAGATGGTCCCACTAACTCGTGGTTGAGGCTGATGGGCTGAGTCATTTGGAAAAACTGGCAATGTTGCAGGGCCGGCTCTGGCTTTTTTGCCACCCCGGCAAAAATGCCTACCGCTGCCGCTGCCCCCCCCCCCCCGGAGCGCGGCAGGGGAGGGCGCCGAGCCCGGCCGCAGGCCGCTCTCCCCGGCAGCCAGAGCGCTGGGGGGAGGGCGGAGAGTCCAGCCGGGGCTCTGCTCTCCCTGGCGGACAGAGCGCTGGGGGAGGGCAGTGAGCCGGCCAGGGCTCCGCTCTCCCCGGCGGCCAGAGCCCCGGGAGGAGGGCAGAGAGCCCGGCCGGGGCTCTGCTCTCCCCGGCGGCCAGAGCGCCGGGAGGAGGGCGGAGAGCCCGGCCGGGGCTCCGCTCTCCCCGGTGGCCGGAGCCGGAGCACCGCACCGCGCCGCCCCGCTCCAGGTGCCGCCCCAAGCACAAGCTTGGTGGGCTGGTGCCTGAAGCCGGCCCTGCAATGTTGGCACCTTTGCTGCTTATCATGTGACTGTTTTCTATATGTATAAACTCCAAATGGTTTCCACAAAACATCAGTCACCTCAGGAGTACAGTGGCCAAAAATTAATAAGCCCCACAAAGATATGGTCTTAGTTTTTTCCTTGCAACTGTACCCTGATCCTTGAGATTTCCAAATGGATCCTTCAGTTAGCCTCTATCTTTGGTAGATGAAAAGACAGAATTTAGGTGCCTGTCTCTTTGGTCAGTGTAATACTGGTGTTTACTCCAGTGACTGCAGTGGAGTTACTCCCAATTTATACCAAGGTGAGTGGAGAATGAGGCCCATGATTAGCTACCTGATTTGCAATCACAGAAGTTTTTGTGATTGCCCTTGTAAAACTGCATTCCCAGCTGCATTTCAGCAGAAATAGCTAAATTTTCATTATCTAATGATTAAGGGCTTCATTTTATGTCACTCTGAGTGGTCCTTTACCCATTGTTTTTAATAATTCAGTTGATCCTTTCGGCAGCTTTCACTGGCAAGACTTCTATGGTGCCCTGATAGAAACTAAAGGTGCCCTTGCCAAAGGGAACCACAAGGAAAAGAAGGCAACTGCCTGGAGTGAATCCTTCCTAGGGTGCAGCAAAATTTATACCTCCCAATGCCAGTCTGGGAGACTTTGGTGTGTTAATGGAAGTTATGCACACTTCTGAACCCAATGGCTAATAATGAATTATGGACCTCCGTTTTCATAGCCTTTCCATGCATCAATTAATTATCATCTTTGAAAATCACTGGAAGGAGCCCTTCCATCCTAGTGGTCATTCACAGGGAAGTATTGTTCCTGATGTGGGGATTTATTGCAGCAGTGAGCACTAGGAATACAAATAATTATAACAGAAAGAGAAATAACTTTGTCAGGCATAACCAAAATGCTCTCTGCTAAGCTCTAAAATAAAGCTTGTGACCACTCATCTTGAATGAAGAGGTGTGGCCTGCACCAATCATAAACACCAACTGGAGGCCGTTCAGATAGATATGGAGCATTGATTACATGCTTCAGTCTCTTTGGGCCACAATGCACTAGTCAGTTTCATGTCATGCAAATAAAGTTTGGCCCTTGAGAGTCTGGGAAATTGTTGCGGTCACCTGTGGTTCAACGCCCTTGGCTATGCATGTCCTTAACAGCCCTGAAGTGGTAGTTCTGTCCCATGAAAGGAGCCCCAACCTCACACTTGCTAAGAGAAGATACTCTGCATAGAAAAGTGCTGGTACGTGACATAGATGTGATAAAGTCTTTTGGGTTTTTATATATTAATAGG